CAGATTTCTGGTGAGGAACTACACCCCAAGGAAGGGTTCCAGAGGGTCCTAACACGTCTGACACAGCAGGGACACATCCACCCTCCGGAGCCTCTCCTGGAGCCTCCCATGCTCACTCTGCGTTCTCAAACACAGGTTAGGGCATTGCAATTAAAGTCATTTCCCAAGACCACCTCTCCAAGCAAGCCCAGCAACATGACCTGTGATATCCAGACATCTCACAGGGTCACCCCACAGATGTGGAACATCCTGCACACAGAATTTAAACGCCCAGTCCCCCCAGGCCACCCTGTGCTGGTAGGTGGAAACCAAGCAGCACTTTACCATATGGGAAAGTCCTTCCCACGCTCCAGTACCGGCAACCAGCTCGGCTCTCATGCCCAAAAGTGGTTGTAGCACTTGTCAGGCACAAAAATAAAGGAGAAACAAAGCAGAAAATAGGTATCCTATCCTCATTCCTCCTCTTGGTCCTACTGCTTCCAACTACTTAATCTGCCTTCTGTACTCAGACACCAAGATATTCCCACCCTGCTTTAGATGACAGAACAACTGCTGTAAACTGTCCCACAAGGAACAAACTTTTCTGGCTCCTGACTGTCTGCATTTTAGCCTAACCACTTCTCTTCCTTCTGCTGTTACCCTCCCACTTTATCTCTATAAATGATGAGGGGAAAAGTCTGATGTGTAAATCCCACTTGGAATTCCAATAGCAATAGTCTTGCCAGAGACAGTAGCAAGTTTCTGGGAGTGAGGCAACACTGCAGACAGGGATGGCTGTAATCCCAAGAACTGTATCTAAGGTCTAACAGGAATACAAAGAAACACCAATGTCAATAGGCATTTTGAGCTTTCCTGGCATACAGATATCACAATATACTTATCAAGTTCTAGGTGAAAGTATTTCAATTCCCTCCTGTCCTAGGAGTGGGAAGCCTGGTCTCCAGCCTGATCACTGACTAATGTGTGCAGGATGATTTCCATACGTTTGTGTTCTTGTGACAATGTTGTTTTAACTTAAACTTTTCAAATAGTCACTCTTGCTTTCACTGTTGGTGGGGGTTAATATCAGCCATCAACCACACACACAATACAATGACTACAAGCCAATTACTGTCACTAGCAAGAAATGCTCTTGTCAGATACAGTTAATTTATAGCTGTTTTCCTTTTTTTTTTTCATATTCTTCATTCCCCTCATTTTTAATGCAGATATTTGAATAGACAGTCTGCCAGTTCAGCTTGATCCCAATGCTGGCACTTTATCTATGCTTTTCCTTCCACTCCCTAGCCAAAGACTCAAGGAGCAGGGATTAGAAAACAAGGTGTTTTGCTTTTTACAAGATTGGACATATACCTGCACACAAAACAGGAACCTGCTCAAAACAAAAGCTACAAATTAGGTGAATACTTAGGTGTGGCAAGGAAGTAGCCTAGTTTTATATCCTGGGATACAGACTGAGACCTGATAGCACACGCAAATCTAATCCTGGAGGAGGGGCCTGTGTTCAGAATCACTCTGAAATCAGAACTGAATCTTCGTTTGAGAAGCTTTACAAAACAAATGCAAACAACCCAGTCCAAGACTTTGGACTCCATCCACAGGATCTGGTTGTGATTCGGGGTGAGTTCACCTAGAAACTCCTGGAGACAGAGCTACACGCTGGCTCGGGAACCTGGCTCAGAGAGAGCCATTTAGGGATATGGAATGTTTCCAAAATCAATACTGTGATGTTGTAGAAGAGATCTGATTACAAACTGCCTGTTCCTTACGTAATGAAAGCTGTTTCCTAAAGTGAAGCTTTTTGGAAGAAATAGGCTGCATGTACATTACCAAGAGCTACTTAGTGGAGCCCTAGAGCCCAACAGCTGCTGCTGCAAACAGCTCTGTAGTCTCTGTGCTCTGCAGTGTTTAGCCCAAATGGCACCAATATGAGCCACAAACACCCATGGAGCAGTGGAAGTGCAGGAATCCTTCCTTCTTTCCTTCCTTCCTTAAAGGCTGATCTTCCATTTCTGTCCCATTGGCTTCAGCTTCCTTTTTATTTCACAGAATGCCCAGGTTGGGGGAGGTTGGGAAAGCCCTCCCAGCCCATGGAATCCAAGCTCTGCCCGATCCCACCGTGTCCCCAGCCAGAGCCCTAAGTGCCACCCCCTGGAATTCCCTGGACACCTCCAGGGATGGGCACTGCAAACCTCCCTGGGCACTTCCAAGGCCTGAGCGCCCTTTCCATGGGGAAATTCCTGCTGCTGTCCCCCCTGAGGCCATTCCCTCTCCTCCTGTCCCTGTTCCCACAGCCCAGCCTGTTCCCATTTCCCACCTCGGCCGTGGTGTCCCACTCTCCCAAGTGTGCCCAGAGAGGTCCCAGGGGGGTGGCAGGGACAGGGATCAGCACCCTCGTGCTCACATCCTGCGCTCCCATCAGCTGCAGGAGCACACCCATGATGACACAGCTAATCCCAGGAGAAACGCAGCTTCCAACTTCAACCTCGAGGCCAAGAACATACAGTGGCTTCCTTAATCTGTACAAGCAGGCTGGCAGAGCCATGGTTGAGACCGAGGGTACACAGCCCATAAAAAGGCAAAATACCTGCCCAGGTCCCATTTGCCAGCACACAAACAAGCACCAGCACAAGGAAGAGATTGCCTAACTGAGCTACTTGGAAATGCCAAGCCCTGTTTTGAAACCATCCACTACGAGTGGAAGGTGAAAGTCACAACTGCAAACTGACAGCAGAAAATGCACATTTCTTTCAAATATTTGCTAAAGCTTGCAGAGACTTGAGTAGAGACAAAGCAGGCAGCAGCAAGGAACCTGTAGGAGCTGTCCTTTGGAAACCTGCTCCACATGAATGGCCTCTGCACTGACCACATCCTGCCAGCTTCCTCAATTCCTGTCGGGGACAGCCAGCAGGTAGAAATGGATCTCTAGAGAAAATACTACGTTATGCAGCAAGGTCTACTTCATAAAGTTGTTATTATTACTGTGCCCCTGGGCACACACATAATTAGGCAAAACAAATTGTAAATCCATACATACACAACCAAAGTAATGCTCTAAATTGGATACAAGGGGTGTGAATCATTTTTTTATGCACATTTGTGCATAAAGAACTTGTAAAAAACTTGTACACAAGCGTACACACCTGTACTCAAAACTTCCATCCAACTTCAGACTAAGTAAACTTCTAATTGCCTAACGTTGAAATGAATAATATTCTGGTTATTGCTATTGAAGGGGCAATACTGGACTTTACATATTAACACAGAAAGATCCTGAAATATCAGACCAAGTCTTTACTGGCTGATCAGTCACGGCTCATCACTGAAAATTCCTGAAGAACTGTAACCATGAATAAGTGAGGAAAAGAAAAGGGTGGGAAGGAGCAGGGAAGATTAGAAAATGCAGCTCCTTTGGAGGGGAGGAGAGCCCCTGCTTCCCAGCAGCAGGTGAAAGGAGCTGCTTTCAGCACACCTGTACTACCTGTTCACCGTAACACAAGAGGAAGTCAGTTAGGGAGTGAATCTGAATTAAATTTGAACCCAAGCTCTCCACACACACATTTGTATCTTTTACTGTAGAACCAGGCTTACCAATATGTACTGACTCCTGAATAGAGGCAAGAACCCAGAGAAGTTTAGGACACCAAGCAATGGTCCCACCAGTACGTTTAGTGGAAGCAGAAACTTACTTTCAATTGCACAAAGTTCAATGTTACTACAGCTGTGCTATTTTTTACCAAGAATTCAAAGGGTTTTTTTTTATAATGGGAGATATTATTTCTATCAGCTCCATCCAAGAATAAAAATATAGTTAACGAGCTCTGCAACCTCCTTATTTATTATATATAGACACCTACAGGCACACAGCAGCTGTCCTGGACAGGGAGACTCTGGGGCTGGACCTCTCGTTGTGGGACATTGTCAGGGAGCACAGGGATGACCCACACACAGGACAGCTGCCAGGGGCTCTGCCCCACTTCTGCAAAACTGACACACACTCCTTTTCTTGGGGTTTTTCTTTTTTTTTCTCCATCCAAAAGCTTAAATAAAACAGGGGGAAGAGGCTGAGAGCACTTGGTAGTGAAAGCTGCTGAATAAGATCATAGAATCATGAAATGGTTTAGGTTGGAAGGGACCTTACAGCTCACTCCATCCCAGCCCTGCCATGGCAGGGACACCTCCCACATCCCAGGAGCTCCAGCCCCAGTGTCCAGCCTGGCCTTGGGCACTGCCAGGGATCCGGGGGCAGCCACAGCTGCTCTGGGAACCTGGGACAGGGCCTGCCCACCCTCACAGGGAAGGGTTTCTTCCCCATATCCCATCCACCCGTGCTGTTCTTGAGCCTTACGCACAGAAGGATAAAATCCCAGAACGGTTCGGGTGGGAACAGACCTTAAGGATGCTCCAGTGCCGCCCCTGCCATGGGCAGGGACACCTTCCACTGGACCGGGTTGCTCCAAGCCCCAGTGTCCAGCCTTGGCCCGGATCACTCCCCGGGCTGGGGCAGCTTCTCCGGGCACGGGGAAGATGCGGAGGAGAGGCAGGCAGGATGCTTTTGATACCCGTTTAGAATAAAAGGCAGCTGCAGCGTTCAACGCGCGGCTGCACCGCGCTCCCGAGCCGGCCCCGCTCCCTCCATCCATCCCAGCCGCGCTCCGCAGCCACTCGGACACAACCCCAAAGGCACTTACTGCGGCAGCCGCCGAGCCCGCGTCCTCTGCGGGCTGCTCGCCGGCCGGCGGCAGGAAAAGAGGGGAGGGCGGCTCTCTCCCTGCCCGCCCTCCGCCTGCAGCAGCCAGCCAGGCTCCCCCGAGCTCCGCCTCGAACACCGCCGGCACCTCCCCGCCCTGCTCCCCGCCCGGGGCCGCCGCTGGCCCGCCGGAGGCCGCGGGAGCGCCGCCGATGCGGCCTGGGCCCGCGGGGACGGGCCCAGCGCGGCCTCCGCATCCCCGGCCTTGCGTGACGGGGGTCGCCGCCCATGGCGGCCCCTCCCCGGGGCTGCGCCGTTGGCGGTACCGGAGGCGGTACCGGAGGTCTCAGGCCCACGCGTGAGGCCCGGCTCCACCGCTGATCGTGGTCTTCAGCTGTCTGGGTGTCATTTCAAGTCAGTAAACAACTGCAAGGATTGGATTTCATGAGTTCTGCAAAGTCAGTGATATTCAGTCACTGGTGATGGGAGCAGTGTTTATCTGGAACATTAGTGCTCTTAAAAGGGGCTAAAATCTCGAGCGGCAGCTGGAATTAGTAGATACTCCAGCTTGGAAACTGTCAGCTGAAGAGCAAGAATTGAAAATAGAAGGAAAAAGACTGGAAAATCATTCCTTGTTTTCTAAGGATATGGTTTTAGGGCATGTGTTTTTTGGAACACGTGAGAACAGAGGAAGAGTAATTGGGATATGAAAAAGAAAAGGGATTTAAATGCAGTTTGTGGCAAATAATTTCAGCATGATGCAACACACGCAAGTTCTGGATGTGATGCCTACCCATATACGTGTTCTAACATGGCACTATATGTTGTTTCATCCATCTCTAACAAATATTCGTTACAGAGCTAGGAGAATCCTCTGTCCTCCCACCCCTCAAAGCAGTTGTCTACCCAGATGTAGCTGCACTGTCAGTATTAATATATGACAAATTTTCATTGGTACAGGGCTGTTTATGAGTGCAAAATGTATCTATAGCCATTTCTAAGTGAACATTATTTGCACCCCAGCACTGCTGTGTCTCACCAGCTTTTTCCAGTCTGCAAAATCTTGAAGGGGGTAGAAAATGAGAGTGTTGTACTAGTCTCCTCATAAAAGGAAAGTGAAAACTTCATAAGGATCACATTTCCAAAGCAATGTCACTTTCCAGGTACAGGTTCTCTCCACTTGCACGGTGCAGTTACCAATACACAGGGATGGGCTGTTCTCTTCCTTACTTTAGGCTTCTGTTCAACTACTTTTTTTCTTAGTTACTGATTGTTTAAGACTGTACTTTGTAAGTTTGAAGAGTGAAAGAGTTTTACAAGGTTAAGTAAAAAAATGAGATGCCTGAAAATATTGCAAAATTCATCCCTCTCAAGTCTGTTATTTATTTAATGCCTCGATGAAAATATTACCTCCAAAAGTCTCTGTGCATGTGGCTTGGTCCCTGGGACACCTGCCAAGACAGGAATTTCAGATGCCTGAAATCATGTGCTCAGCAGGTGTAAAGGTGTAAATTGCGTGCACGGAGAGTTCACCCTTTGTCCTTAACCCCAGAGGCAGTTTCTCTTCATTAGCAAGGGAAGATGGGGAAAAAGATCATCATCGTTTCCTGACTGCATGCCAAAGTTATGTATCATAAGAAGAAAATCTGTTCATACATTCATAAATATGTTTTCTCCTAATCTGTCTTCAGGAAAATGCCTTTGTGAGGAGCAAGAGTGGTGATTGCAGGAGAGCTGGGACAAAGGGACAGAACAGATACAGAATTTCTCTGCTGGGATTTTTCCAACAGGATCCATGGTAGGTCCTCTTGTTTGAAAATCCAGGTACTCAGTCGTGGCTGTGATTAGGCATTTAAATCGTTCCCATCTCGGCTGTGGGTGTCAGGTGTCACTCCAAGTACAACCCTGTGGCTTTCCCACCCATGCTCAGTTTACCACTGGACCAGGACGTGTTGCTGGTGTTCTGGAATTTCCCCTGCACTGCAGCAGATAAATCCATCCGTGTTTATGTGTCTGAGGGACAGAAGGTGGCTCATTTTTCTATTATGATGTGTTATCATCGCAATTAGGTCTGATGGTTTGCTGTCCCATCAAGATCCCACACAGAAACAAGTGCAAAAATTGCAGTTTTAAAAGAGTGAGGTCACGGGTCACGTTATTTGTAGCAGAAAAAAAAACCCCATAATTAATTGGCCACTCCCTGCAATGGCAGCACAGGAGGGAATGGAAGGAAGGGACATGGAGCATCTGTGTTTTTCTGGGGCAAACAGCCAAGCTAGGTCTGATGGACAACATTCCATTGGTAAAGAAAAGAAGAAGGACAGTATCTTTTAGAAAGTGAGACTGCTTGGACTAGTCAAGAGTAGTTATTTTCTCATTAAACATTTAAGGAGCTTTGTTGTGGCAGGAAATACGAAGAAACTGTCACATTTATTTTCTCTGTATGTGCTGGAATGAGAGGCTGTATTCAGCAAAAGCAAGGCAAAAGGCTCTTCAGCATTTGGGCTGTATTATTTTTTTCCCTCAGACAATGACAGATGAAAAGCAGTCCTGGTGACTGTACATGTCTAGTGTTTATCCAGGTATTTTCTTCATTGAATTGATTAGGAAAACCTTAGAAAACCTGTTCAGAGACATATACAATGACTTTAAAATTCCCAGCCTTTAGTGAGTAAATTTAGTGAGTAAATCCAGGATTTGAGTCTCCTGTTTGCTTTTGGTGCCCATTTCCCTGGCATTGCCTGCTGATGGCTTTCTTTTAGGACACTTTAGACAGGATTTGGGATGAACAGTTTCAGGGTGTCCATGCATTTATAGGGAACTTACAGATTGCCAGCAACATCATCAATAATTGTGCAGGGAAAAGTTACTTTAAATAACCACATATATCATTGTCAATTTGGTTTCAGTGACCTTTTGTGGTCCAGAACTATTCCATTGAAAAAGAAAGGATACTGGAAAATCCCTGAGAGCCTGGTATCTGGAACAACGAGCATTTCTGGATGTGAGTGGCTCCTCTCCGTGTCCAAAGGCCGTGGTGGGGATATCTCACCACATCTTCCCTCAGCACCATTTTGGCCACGCCAGCCATCCTGTACCTTCCCCGGAATTTCAGATTAAGCCTTTTCATCTACTGAAATATTCCTCCCTGCAGATTTAAATAATTAATTGGGACGTGCCTAGTGGGTCTTGAGCTAAACTTCAGAGAGGCAGCAGATATGTGTGACCAAGTGACCTTTTGCTGTCCTGCTCGTCCCCGCGCGCTCGCTGTGCTCAAAGGGACGCTGTCAAAATTGCTAGGCCTTAAAACTTTAACCCGCACTGACAAGTTGTTCTACATTATAAGTCTTCCCTAAAAGATTACCACGACTGTTTTGTTTGTTTTGTTCCAACCATCTTTGCTGAAGGCTCCACAATACGGATTCATTTGTCCTTTTGGGTAGGTGGATATTTTTAAATGCCCGGCTTATTCCGTGACCTGTTAAAATCGAGTTGATGTGCGTGTGCTCCACTCAGTGGAGAACTCTCCGGGGATGGAGCAATTTCTCTGCACTCTGGAACAAGAGACAGGAATGCACTTGGGAAGCCTTTCTGGAGAGGCTTTGAGAAGCCATTTTGAAGGGCCTCTTGTTACCTTCAGTGCTTTGGAAGTCATGACTGGACTTGCCTGTGATACAAAGTGTTGTGTACTTGTTAGTGAAATGCCAGCTGGTTCTTACACAGGGGTTTGCTCTTTCATGGTGCTCTGATTTACTCATTAGGCTTTATTTCTAAGATCTCCATTTACAGAATCCAAGGATCACTGAGGCTGGAAAAAGCCTCCAAGACCATCAAGTCCCAGCTGTGCCCGATCCCACCATGTCCCCAGCCCAGAGCCCTGAGTGCCACCTCCAGGAACTCCCTGGACACCTCCAGGGATGGGCACTGCAAACCTCCCTGGGCACTTCCAAGGCCTGAGCGCCCTTTCCATGGGGAAATTCCTGCTGCTGTCCCCCCTGAGCTGCCCTGGCCCAGCCTGAGGCCGTTCCCTCTCCTCCTGTCCCTGTTCCCTGCCAGCAGAGCCCGACCCCCCCGGCTGTCCCCTCCTGCCAGGGAATTCCAGAGAGGGAAAAGATCCCTCGGGATCCTCCTTTGCTCCAGCCTGAGCCCCTTCCCAGCTCCCTCAGCAATTCTCCAGCCCCTTCCCAGCTCCCTCAGGAATTCTCCAGCCCCTTCCCAGCTCCCTCAGCAGCTCCTTTAGGTCATACATGGTTTAACACAGCTCCATGGGAAGGGGTGACTCAGAGCCAGCAGTACAGGTGCAGCTGTGCCATCACTTCCCCATTTTCATGTGCCAGGACAAGGATTGATCCAACACCCATTCATACAGCCACAGTCCCTCCATGTGGCATGGGAACACGTGTCCATGCCAGCAGGCAGGAGGGAAGGAATGATACCCACTGGACACACCCCAGGTAAGCCACACCTGCACTTTTAAGCTTGATTTGAGCTGATTTACCACTGCCTATCAACCTGACCTTGTTCCTATCACAGTGCACCAACTGAACTTGGGGAGAGGGGCTGCGGGTGGCCCTGAGCTGCAGCATCCTCCTCAGAGGGACACAGCAGAGTCAGCAGAAACACCTGAAGCTCCTGGGCTCTGCTCTGTCAAGCCTCAGCCAGAAGCAGGGACACCTTCCACTGTCCCAGGCTGCTCCAAGACCCAGTGTCCAGCCTGGCCTGGGACACTGCCAGGGATCCAGGGGCAGCCACAGCTTCTCTGGGAACCTGGGCCAGGGCCTCACCATCGTCATAGGGAAGGATTTCTACCACACAGCCAACCTAAATTTCCCCTCTGTCAGTGTGAAACCATTCCTCCTTGCCCTCTCATTACAGCTCCTGGTGAAGAGTCCCTCTCTGGCTTCTTTGTACACCCTTTCAGATACTGCAGGGGTCTGGGAGATCCCCCAAAGCCTTCTCCCCTCCAGGCTGAGCAGCCCCACTTTCTCAGGCTCACAGGGGAGGTACTCCAGGCCCCTTACCAACTTTGTAACTCCTCTGCTCTTCCTGCCTCTTACCAACTTTGTAACTCCTCAGGCCTCTTTGCCACAGTGCCGTCCATTGGGGGCACAGAACAGATCCATCTACACTGGAGCTTGGGTGGGAATGTTCTCCCAGCCATTGTGATGACTAACACAAGGAACCCCTTAGAACTCCTTTTGTTGGAGTAGGATTCTGATTCCTACTCAGCTGAACCGATCCTGTGAGATTTTCACCAGTTCTGAGGCTCTGGACCACCATTTCTACTATTGCAGCTCTCGATTTCTGCTCTGTTCAGCACCCTCCTACTCACAGTCAGTTCTGAAGTGTGAGCCTGGGTCACACAGCTTGGGAACTGGTTCCCAGAGCATGTTCTGGAGTCACATTTGGGCCCCTGGGAGGCCTGGGAGTTGCCAAACTCTGGATGACAGAATTCCCTGCAGGACATCAGCCAACAGTCCCAGATGTTCTGAGCAGATGTAGAACAGTGTAATGGACATGAGACATGTTCTCTGAGTTATTCACCATGAGTGCAAGGACAGTTCCATCTCTGCTCTGGGAAGGAGTAGTGCAAAGTCTGTCACTGCAGTGGCTCTGTGCAATAATTCTCCAAGGAGTGGCGCAAGCAGCGTGTTCTGCTCTGCCTGCCCCAGAGAGCAGAGGGGCACTCGGGGACAGGGTTCAGAGCTGGCCTTGCCAGTGCTGAGTCACCCATTGGACCCAGTGATCTCAGAGCACTTTTCCGACCTCATCCAGCCCATGGTTCTTTGATTCCATGATCCTCTCTGAGGACACGCTGCTGGGTCCCATGTGGACGTTGCCAGATGTCCCTGCCTGGCAGAGCCTCAGCTCACCAGGACCAAGAGGAGGTGGGAGAACTAAAGTAGGGGGAAACCTGCTCATGGCTGACTTCCAGACACAGTAAAATGGGGAATTAGGGGCTTCTCAATATGAATATTTTTTTGCCTAAATGCTTGGGCTGTTTTTGGTCCTGAGCTTGTCTGAGAAAACTGTTTTCCTAGGCTGACTAATCCAACCGTAAGCAGCAGCCTAAATAATAGTCATTACTTACAGTTTTAATTATGCTGCCTTCTGCCAGCAGAAGCTGAGAAGGAGCAGGAGGTGTGCTGGGTTGTTACATTGTGGTGTTCATGCACACCCAAACACGGGACATGGAGCATGCCCTGCAGCACCAGGGCACTGGTGGTTGAAGCAGAAGACCCCTGCTTCCTACCTGTGCAGAGGTGGGTGGCTGTAGCTGTAACTCCTGCCCTGGCGGTGTTCTGCAGATGTTCCCATGATCTGTACACATATCTTGATGTTCCCTTGACATGAAGTACTCATTGCAGCTTTTCCTTGGACTCTGGCTCACATGTGGCTGTTTGTGGGAGCGTGTCCAAGGCAAACTGAGTGTCAGGAGCGTGCATCATTTATTTTGGGACACGGCATGGCCACATCACAGCAGAAGCACGGGCTCACTATTGACATTAGCACACGCAGCACAGCGTGCTGAAACGGCATCACCTGGCACGGCACAGACACCGTCTTGAGCACAATCTGATGATCCCTTTGTGGATCAGCTGAGTCTCTGAGTGCTTAACCATTGGCCTCCCCTGGTAAAGTCCTTCCAGGATGGAAAAGGAATAAAAATACACATTTGTAACTTTGTCTGAAAGCTTTAAATGTTAAGAATGATCATAGAACCATTTAGGTTAGAGAACACCTTTAAGATTGACTCCAACCGTAGTACTAGGTGTAAAGAATCTTGGAAACTTTTACCTGTAACCTCCTGAAGTTCTTCCATTAAATCACTCCTTGCTTATTCAATGAATAGTATTAGTTTATCCCTGATACAAACAGAATGCTTAGAAATGAAAGAAGCTTTCAAAGAATATGGTGAAAAAAAAAAAGTTTTAAAAATGATTACTGAAATAATGATTAGTGGCATCTGTGAGAGATGATTAAGACCAAAACCAACAGTCGGGACAGACTCTGTGGGGTGTACGATGGGTGCATGATGCACTTTCCCAGGTTTTTTTTTAATCCTTTAGCGGGAAAATATACAACGGTTAGTACTGACTTTTAAAACACTTTTTCCCCTGGGAATGACGGCTGAAAGCGCTGTGTGAGCCGTGGGGCTGGGACACAGAACGGAGCGGGCGGGCATCGGTGACACCGCGTGCGCTACTTCAGCCAGGGGCGGGGAGAGTGCAGCGAGCGCGCATTGGTGGTTCAGTGGTAGAATTCTCGCCTGCCACGCGGGAGGCCCGGGTTCGATTCCCGGCCAATGCAACTCCCTTTTGCCGCCGGACGTGCCGCCGCCTTTTGTGGCCGCTGCGCTTCCATTTTCCCCGGGGGCTCTCGGGCGGGAGGCAGCGGCGCCGGGCCGGCCGGGCCGGGGAGTGCGGGCGGTGCGGTGCCGGCCTAGCCCGGCGGAACCGGCGGCCGCGCGGAGAGACGGGAAAAAAAAAAAAAAGCAAATGAAAAAATAAAAGGGAAGCGCCTGGAGATGCCGGGGATTGAACCCGGGACCTCACACATGCGAAGCGCGCGCTCTACCACTGAGCTACATCCCCGGCTGCGAGCGCCTCACGCCGGCCGCCCTCAAATGGAGGGAGGGCAGGGGCCTGTCCCACCGTCCGGCCCGGCCCGGCCCGGCCCGGATCACACAACTCCCTCTGCCCGCACCGGGACACGGGCACGGAGCGGGACACGGGCACAGAACCCCTGCAGCAGCACCGGGACACGGGCACGGAGCCCAGGCAGCAGCACGGCCCCGTCCGTGTGCGGGGAGCAGCAGGGAGAGCCTCGGGAGGAGCAGGGAGAGCCTCGGGAGGAGCAGGGAGAGCCTCGGGAGGAGCAGGGAGAGCCCGGGAGGAGCAGGGAGAGCCCCGGGAGGAGCAG